AATTTTTCTTTTCTTTTTTTCTATTTGGTATTTTCTCATTATTATAAGCAGGGCTTTTTTTGTCATAGAACACCCAGAATGGAGTTCCGGCACCTTTTTGGGATGGAACCTTGTAGGGTAGGCAAGGCGGGTTGTATGACGTGTAGTTCCGGCACCTTTTTTTTTTTTTTACAAAAAAAGCACTAATTATAAGTTTTACTAAGTCTTGGAATAAACGGAAAAGCAGAGTACAAATTCAGTAATAAGTAATGAATACAGTTACTTCAGTTGAGAATGAAGCCACAGAACAGACAGAAGGATCACAGCGACAATTGCATGATGAAGCCATCATGTGCACAATTATGTACATGCTTTTTGACATCTAAGACAAGGGCATAATTGTCCCCTACAAGTTGTTGTCCCATCTGGATTATCCTGAAATGGATTTTGCTCATCTTACAGCTTATTCAGTCATTAGGCTTGAATTTATCCTACTTCCTCAATCATCTTACTTAAATTCAGCCGGTGAGAAAAACATCAGGTCTTGGGGGAGGTATATAACTCACTGCTGAGTGAGGAAATAGTATTTTACTTAGATCCCTGTCTATGTATCAGATAAGGAGAATGACACATAGCCTTGGAGAGCTGCAGTTGCTATAGCAACAGCTATAAGATCTTTGGTCAGGACTAGTACAGGGGTGATTGGTTGCAGTATATTTTGTACTACCTTCAAGGATGGCTGGTTCACTATCTGGAGAAGTGCAAAGAAGAGCAACAAAGATGATTAGGAGACTGGAGGCTAAAACATATGAAGAATGATTACAGGAATTGGATGAAAAGAAGGACTAGGGATGACATGATAGCAGCATTCCAATATTTAAGGGGTGCCACCAAGAAGAGCAGGTCAACCTCTTCTCCAAAGCACGTGAAGAAGCAACGGATGGAAACTAATCAAGGAGAAAAGCAGCCTAGAACTTTCCTAACAGGAAGGATAATCAGTGGAACAACTTCCCTCCAGAAGTTGTGGGTACTCCATCGCTGGAGGTTTTCAAGAAGAGATTGGACCACCATTTGTCTGAAACGGTATACAGCTGCCAGCTTGAGCAAAGCTTGTTAACAATAAGAGCAACGTAACAGAAGAAACAATGACTCAGTAAAGTGGTAGTCTCCCATCCACTGAATGTTTTCAAACAGCCATTTGACAGCAATAGTTGAAACTGACCAGGAGATTTGAATTGCTCTCTCCAAGATCCCTTCCAACATTAAGATTTTTAGAGCACAACAATATATGGCCCTTTCACGATCTGTGGACTTCAACTCCCAGAATTCCTCAGCCAGCATGGCTCAGTTCAGGAATTCTGGGAGTTGAAGTCCACAGGTCATAAAAGGGACATAGTTGACTACCCCAATGAGCCCAAATGAGGTGATTATGTTCCTACTTATTCATGTATGATTGTGGGGTTCAAGTCTATTTGGTCATTTTCTTGAAGGTTGATGGAAACTGAATTTACATACAATCGATATTTACCTCATACCCTACCAAACTAAAATAAGAGGGGGGGGGAACCCACAAAAATTGGAGCCAGGAAGGCAAGAAGGAGAAGGAAAGAGATAGGAGAAGTATTGAGAAAAACTATAAGAGAAAAACAGTAACAAAGGACAGATGTAGGGGATATGTAACTGCAAGTGGTATACTACAGCCTTTCTAACACACACAGTCTTGATTTCTAACATTTAGGAAAGACATGGAACTTCAAAAATAGTATCTGGGATGTTGCCACTATTAATCAATTTTTAGCTATTTTAGGCTAGTTTTCTTATTCTACCTAATGTTCAGCTTAGCCTTTTCTAGATATAATTATCCCAAATATCCCAAAATGAGAAAATATGGGGGGGATAAATAGAGAAATAATTGCAAATAAAAGCCAAAGGATAATGTCCCAGGATAATGTTGCAGGATCCAATCTGAATCAGTTGCCGGGACCCCAAAAATATTTTTTCAAGCTTCCACATTCATGCTGGAGCCCATGCTCAGGAACTGTATCTCTCTCCAGAATGTGTACTATAGCAGGGCTTTTCAACCAGTGGTACGCGTACCACCTGTGGACGTTGGCACCTGGCAGGTGGTACGCAGCCATCCTAGAAAAGTAGTAGTGGGGGAGGGGAATGAGCTGAACTGGTGGCAGCACCGGACAAGCCTGAGCAAGAGACGGCTGTAGCTGCAGTGCTGTCAGGGCTCAGCGGAAGTGTCAGGATCAGCGCCAGGCCTCAGCTGGAGCTCGGCGCTGATCTTGGTGCTTCTGCTGAGCCCAGAAGAATCACCGATCAGCTGGAATGTTGCCGCATTTCCAGGGTCTAGTGATTTACATTCAGATGTTTGGCAACTGATTCATATTTATGACAGTCACAGTGTCCCAAGGTCATGTGAAGTGAACAAAACCTGCTGCAACCACCCAGCAGATGGGGGGGGGGAATAAAAACCAAATACCCCCCACCCCACCTCTGCTGCCAATCCTCAACAGAAATGCTCACAACAATGAAAACCTCGGACAGGAGGAAGAGCACCACCAGGTGGGCAGGTACGTATCTTGTTCGGCTGTGGCTTGGGGGGCACTTTTTTCAGTGTCATTGTAACAGTCACTAAGTGAACTATTGTAAGTCGAGGACTACCTGTACTTTTGACACCTTGCTAGGCGACTGCTGGTACTCGGATGTTGCCATATCCTAAAAGTTGTACAATGGGTGAAAAGATTGAAAAGCCCTGTACTATAGTACAGGTAGTCCTCGACTTACAACAATTGGTTTAGTGACCGTTCAAAGCTACAATAGCACTTATGACCATTTTTCACACTTATGACCATTGTAGCATCCCCATAGGTCACGTGATTTATGTTTGGGTGCTTGACAACTGGCTCCCATTTATGACGGTCGCAGTATCCCAGAGTCATGTGATCTCCTTTTGCGATCTTCTGACAAGCAAAGTTAATGAGGAAACCAACTTCACTTAACAACAGCATTGATTCATTTAACAAATGTGGCCAAAAAAAAGTCGTAAAAAGAGGCAAAATTCATTTAACAAATTTCTCATTTAACAACATAAATTCTGGGCTCAGTTGTGGTCCTAAGTTGAGGACTACCTGTATTTATATGGTCCTTGGTTGCATGTGGCTTTTAGTTGTTAATTCACTTAATTCAGTTTAGTTCAGTCCCGTCCAGTTAGGAATTACCAATTTAGTTAATAATTCCTTGTGGACTTGTTGCTACAGTCAAACTCAAGAACTTTTATCATTGTCACAGAGGTCTTGCCAAAGTTATAGCTGGCTGCCTTTTGCAATTCAGCCACAGTCCATCTCAATGAGGTGTCGTGTCTGGCAAAGAGGAATAACTTTGACATGACAAGGCAAAGTGCACCATAGAGGCAGGATTTTAATGAAGGTTTAACAAAGCATTGAAGGGGGACGATGGGAGACCTGGCTGAATTAGCTATTTTGCTTTGATGCACATCCAGATCACAAGTTCCCCAGGAAAAAATTCTATTCCCCTCAAATTTGTATCCACTGAAATTTCTGACCTCATCTCCCAGTCCTGCACATTTTTAAAAAAAAAAAAATATTCAGTTTGGCTTAAAAAAGTTGCTTTCCTAACAGGGATTTTAATCCCCTCCATTGGAAAGATCACCTCTATAGCCCTAATGTGTAAAGGTTTATTTAGTTCTCATAGATTTGCAATGGATTTGATGTCAGGTTTTTAAACTTAAAAGTACTACTGTATTCACCTATGGGTCTAAACCAGGGGTCTTCAAACTTGGCCCTTTTATGACTTGTGGACTTCAACTCCCAGAATTCCTCAGCCAGAGTGCCTGGCTGAGGAATTCTGGGAGTTGAAATCTACAAGTCATAAGGGCCAAGTTTGAAGACTCCTGGTCTAAACTGTGATTTCTTTAACTATGTTTTATTGAGTAAACCACAGTTTGTTTGCTTCATATTACAAACCAGCCAAAACCAGCAAGCCACAAGATGACTTAGTACAATATGTGAACACAGGCAACGGTAGGCATAAACTCTTTCCTGTTCAGTTTCATAGGTCTAGAGGTAGGAGAGAGAAAGATTTATACCAGTTTAGCAATGAAGATTTTTCTAGTATAATGCTGAAAACTGTACAATGAGAGATATCTAAAAGGTTGAATCAGGGCAAGTGGACCAATTTTTTTAAAATTGTTTCGCTTCCCATCCCATGAAGCTTTATCAGTCCCCCCCCCCCAAAAAAAAATAGTTAGGAAGAGAGTTGTTGAAATGCACCAACTCCTGCCACACTAACTTCAGGGGCTCTCCCCCAAATATACTGCAATATGTCGAAGAACACTCAATCATTGAGAGAGTTTCTATGCCACAAATTTATGGTAGCATTTTAAACAGAGGGACTTTGGCTATAATCCTCTTCTTTTAAAACTACAGTTCCCTATATATTTGTTTCAGAATGGATACAGAAGCCACGCAGCTTGGAAATTGCTAAAAAATCTATTTAAAGAATCGTCTGAAATCTGACACTCTGTCAAAGTGTTAGAGAAAAGATGCCAATAGCCAAGTCAGCCTTTAACATGTGCCAAATGTTAGAGGCACTGTTCATTGTAGCTGATATTATTGTTCCTAGCAAAAGTGCTCTGGAGTATGTTTCACTTAATTATGAGTTTCCTTTGCAGCAAGTCACTTGTTTTACTTAATTAAATAAGTTGCCAGCCAAATCTAAAGTGCCATCCCCAAGCATGCACTTGTCAGATGAGTTGGGATGACCAACTCCCTATGTTGGCCAGGGATTATGGGAGATGTTGTTCCAGTCTTTCTGGAGGGAAGTGGAATGGCCGATGTAAAGAGGTTCATTCATTTCCTTACCCCCAAACTATCAATACACAAAATTAATTCTTTAGGAAGGTAGGGGTGAGCAACACATATTATCATATCATAAAACTTCAGTAAAGCTCTCTCCAGGGAGATGAAGGAAAAGAATATAGTAAAGCTACTTACGCCATGATAATAACAGAAAAATCCAGCCAGTTCCAGGGGTCTCGAAGGAAAGTGAATTCAGTCATACAAAATCCTCTGGCCAGTATTTTAATCAATGACTCAAATGTGTAAATGGCAGTAAAAGTTTGCCTATAAAGAGTTAAGAATCCAAGAAAAAAAAATGAGAATATTAGCAAATGGCAGGACAAAAAAAAAGATGCATAAATATCCACCAATCCCTCATTATCTCCCTATCCTAATAGCCAGAATAACAGAATAACAGAGTTGAAGAACAAATGAACCCCTTCTTCTTTGTGGCAGCCTCTCAAATATTGGAATGCTACCTTGCATTTGGCTCCTGACACTGCCTAAAACTACGTTTGAAATTGTTATATATGCAACCACTATATGTGGAATCTCTCTCTCTCTCTCTCTCTCTCATTGAGGTACACAGTCATAAAGCCTCAAGGAATGTGTTTTAAAGACATTGTCATCTCCAGGGCTGCTGCTTTCACTATAATTGTCCTTTGCACATACAAATAGACATAATATGGAAGTTTTTAAGAAGACCCTGGACAGCCATTTGTCCAAATTAGCATAGAGTCTCCTGCTTGAGCAAAGGATTAGATTAGGAGACCTCCAAGGCCCCGTTCCAAATCTGTTATTCTGTTATTCTATATAATATATTTACGAAAATGCTGCTACGTATTTCTCCCACTGTTTCCATCTCTCTTCATCCTAAGTTTTATCCTAGAGCAGGGGTGTCAAACTCAATTTCACTGAGGGCCGCATCAGCATTGTGATTGCCCTTGGGGGGCCAGGTGGGCGTGGATGGAGTGGGTGTGGCCTACTGGGTGGGCGTGGCCAGCTCTACATCGTTCGCGTCAAGGGTGCTTGTGGGGGCCTGGGCAGGAGTGGGACAGATCTGAAGGTCTCTGGCAGAAGGGGATGGGACTGGGGCAAGTGCCAAGGCATGGTCCACTGGAGGAACCTCACTGCCTGCCGAAGCCCCTCCCACAGAGCCCATCAAGCCGGATATGTGAAGTAGGCGAGGGCCATTTGCTGGCCACTTCCAGGCGATGGTGCATTTCTTCATTCCTCATAAAGGGTTACACCTCCCCAGCACGCACCCAGGGGGCAGGGCCAACGCAGCAGGGGCTGGTTCCTCGCTGTTTCCAGACGGCCTTGTGGAGCTAAGACTGAATGCGTTTCAGCATAGATGGCCACCACAAAATTGTACATTGGCTCCCAGCCAGCCTGGGCCAGGGCCAAGGCAGCGGGAGCCATTCCTTCACTGTTTCCAAGATGGCTTCGTGGGCCACATGAAACCATTTTACGGGCCACATCCAGCCCCCGGGCCTTGTGTTTGACATGTCTGTCCTAGAGCCTGCCAGCCGCTCTGGAACTACACATCCCAATATCCTTTGTCATTGGCCATGCTGGCTATGGTTGCTAGGCTTTGTAATTTAGTAACGCCTCTAGGGGCTCATGCTTCAAAATGTTTTTAATTTAATTGAAGCTGAGAATGACCAATTTCTTTCAATGGACATGGTTGTAATTCCATTATAAACCAGCTAGAAATGCTGAAAACCTATTGTTAATTTATTTTTGCCTGAGATTTTTTTTTTTTTGGCTACTGGAAAAGCTAATGCAGCTGTGTAATTGAAATTTGGCTTGCTATTCCACTGGTGCTGATCGTCTCTAGTCACTTAACCAAGGCAGGAGCGGACTGACTACTGATTGAAACTCAGCCTCTCCTTATTTGCCACTTGAACACAACCACACAAACATTTGCAGCAAGCTGACCCACTTTTCAGTATGGGCAATTTGGCAATAAATGAAAGTCAACCGTAGGCTAGGCTTGCACTGATTCATACTATCACGTTAAAATAGCCTTCCCTATATTGTGTCTTCAGGATATTCTGGACGTCAACACCCAATTACCCTGGCAAGGTCAGTTTAGATAGCATAGCAGCATGTTGTCCATACATCATAGATACCAAGCTGAAGAAGACTGCTATCGTTGGGAGTAGAATTGGAATTGATTTTGTAGGGCAGCCATGTTCTCTTCCCACTGTTCATCCTTCTGACCCAACAGTATGTAACTATCAATCTTAGTTACTTTAATATCTGATTTTCTCCACTGTGTATTTGTTTGACCATCAATTTCAAGGTGTTGTTATTGTTCACTCGCTAAGTTGTGTCCAACTCTTTGAGACCCCATGGGACAAGCACGCCAGAATCTCAGTGGGACAAGCACGCCAGAACAGTCTCCACTGTCTCCTGGAGTCTGCCCAAATTCATGTTCATTGTGTTGATGACATTATCTAACCATCATCTCATCGTCTGCTGTTCCATTCTCCTTCTGCCTTCCATCCTCTCTTCTGTTTAGGTAGCAAAAGTATTTGAACTTCAGCTTCAGTATATCTGACCTTCCAAATCACAGTCAAGGTAGATTTCCTTTAGGATTGACTGATCTGATCTCCTTGCAGTCCGAGGGACTCGCACAATTTTCATTTTCAAGTACATACCCCAAGAAGGTTATTTTTTTCAAAAATAATAATAATTATAAGAAATGTCTCATATCTATCCATTGTTTCTTGAATTTCTCCAAACAGATTATCTTCCAACTACACTTGGACTGCAAGTCCCAAAATTCCCCATCGGCATAATAAAACAGGATGTAGAATTCTGAGAGTTGCAATCCAGCAATATCTTTGAGGTGGTTTAGAAAAAGGAAATATAAATAAATAAATAAATAAATAAATAAATAAATAAATAAATAAATAAATATTGGGAGGCTGCATGTGCATAGGTAATGATAATGATAATGATAATAAAGTTGGAAGGGACCTTGGAGGTCATCGAGTCCAACCCCCTGCTCAGGCAAGAAACCCAGCACCATTTCGGACAAATGGCTGTCCAGTCTCTTCTTAAAAACTTCCAGTGTTGGAGCATTCACCGCTTCTGGAGGCAGGTTGTTTCACTGGTTAATTGTTCTAACTGTTAGGAAGTTTCTCCTTAGTTCTAGGTTGCTTCTCTCCTTGATGAGTTTCCATCGCTTGCTTCTTGTTCTGCCTTCAGACGCCTTGGAAAAAAGCTTGACTCCCTCTTCTTTGTGGCAGCCCCTGAGATATTGGAAGATTGCTCTCATGTCACCCCCCCCTCGTCCTTCTCTTCATTAAACTAGACATAATGCAATTACTGCAACCATTCCTTATATACTTTAGCCTCCAGTCCTATTTGTTGCTCTTCTCTGCACTCTTTATAGAATCTCAGCATCTTTGGTGACCAAAGCTGGATGCAGTATTCCAAGTGTGGCCTTACCAAGGCATTGTAGAGTGGTATTAACACTTCACATGATCTTGTTTGCACAGGTAGTCCTCAACTTATGACCATGATTGAACCCAAGACAGTTGTTAAGTGAGTTTTGCTTCATTATACGACCTTCCTTCCCATCGTTATTAAATGAACCTTTGCAGTTGTTAAATTAGTAACACACTTGTTAAATGGCTTCCCCTTCAGAAAGTCACAAAACCCTCAGACAATGCAACTGCCACAAATATATACCAGTTGCCAAATGTCCAAATTTTGATCACGTGACCCCGGGAATGCTGCAACGGATGTAAGTGTGAAAAACAGCCTTAATGTGACTTTTTTCAACGGCATCGTAACTTTGAATGGTCACTAAACAAATGGCTGTTAGGGCGAGGATGTGAGAAACCTAATAAGGTTTGCTTTTTAAAACAAACCTCGGACACACACAGCTGTAACTATGGTTAGTGTCTCAAAAGAGAAGAGAAATATGCCCTGTTTTAGAGGATTTTTCACCGTGCCTGGAAGTTGGGGCTGCCTCTAAGATCTTATCTGGAAGGAGGGCATTTTGTGCTCCTTCCTTCTGGCGCCCACAGTGAGGAGCAGATGGCTGTGTTTATCAGCCATCAGTCAAAAATAAGAAGTATGTTCTGGTTGGCGCAATGAGACACACTAATTGTTTAATGCACTGCACTTAGATTAAGCCTTTGCATCTGGTATCCATTTCAGGAAGAACTTGCAGAAGTGCAAGCTCGCCGTACGAACCTTCATACAAAAGGTAAGTTTCAGAAGTATCTCTATGTACAAATCCAGATTGTTTAGTTCTATCACTCCAGCATTACCTGCTGAGGAATAGATAGTCAAAGTGGATCCTTATCCAGTTCTGCAAAAGAAACATTTCTAATGTCTGGCGGAGGATACATTTCCAACCCTGACAGTGACCACAGATAGCCCTCACCACCCACAATTTACGAGCCCAACATTTCCTAAGCAAGGCAGCTATTAACTGAGTTTTAAAAATCTTTCTTCGGCCTTTTTTTTCTGCCAATATTGTTAAGTGAATTATTGTGGTTGTTAAGTGAATCATGTGGTCTTAGGTGATTCTGGCTTCTCCCATTAACTTTGCGTGTTGGAAGCTGGCTGGGAGGGATACAAAGGATGGATCACATGACCCCGGGAACCTACAACCGCCCTAAATACATGTCAGTTGCCAAGAGCCCAAATTTTGATCACTTGATCGTGGGGATGCTGCTGTGGTCGTATGTGTGAAATCTGATCATCTTTTTCAGTGCCATTGTAACTTTAAGCAGTTGCTAAATGAATGTTTGTAAGTTGAGTACTATCTGTAGTATATTATCTGTAATACGAACTTTTTAGAGTCAGTTAAAGATAAATGTGCTGTTAGCCTTTGGACTGCAGACGTCCCTGAGAAAAATCCATCTCTCTAAAGCCAATATAATTTATTTGAATCAATTGTGTTTTGTCAATGCACTTGAGATACAGACTCTGACAAAACACAGTTTAATCATCTATTTTAATAGATATTAATCCCATTTTAGTATTCAATAGAGTTTGATTTTGTGATTTAGCATCCCAAATATTCATCGCCCTAGAGAATATAAATAATGACCACAGGAACATGACTAGTCTTCACCTGTCCATTTCCCAACTTAAATAAATTATATGCAGCACGATTCTAATATTATGCAAGTTCAAACAGAGAAAAAAGTTCTGAAAAGATACTTACTCCACGTATTTATTCCACGGAGGAAGTTCGGACCACGCCATGAATACACAGTTGGTTAAAATAGTGCACATAATAAACATACTGAATAATGTGGAAGTATGAGTTAAGGAAATAACTTTAAAGGAGTTTAGAATTTTAAAAATGTATTTAAAAACAAGCTCTTCACACTTTCACTGTTGTGGCATTGCAATATTTTTCCTGTTTCACAGCTTTTATTCATCCTTTCCATAAAATGCAACCGTTGAATTTGCTATTGTTATATGTACAGCATGCATATGTGAGTGCAGATAAGCATAAAAGGATATAACTTTGGTTGAAGTTTACAGGAAATCACATAGCCAGTAGAATAATCCTTGAAGCAAAGTCAGTGATCCAATATTGCAAATATTATCTAGTCAGTCACTGAATATTCTTCAATGTGTTTTTACATCTACAAGCTTTTCTCAAATGAAATCATTTCTTTTTGGAGAAAAATATCTCGAGTATTTATATCATTAAGACCTCTGCTCTCTCTGGTGCATTCAAATGTGTATTTATTTTATTTTATTTTATTAAATTGTTGCTGAACATCTTCTCTAAGAATCCTTCAGATCTGGTCATTATGGTTCAGCAATATCTGGAAGATCTCAAACTTTTGACCAAGTGTACAACCTTGAGGATATGCCACAGGTTCACACTGACAAATACATACTCAAGTGAAACTTGACATCTCATCATTAAATAGACAAAACCAAGTAGTTTTTAAAAGAACAACACAGGAGTAATTTTAATACTGCCATTTTCAGATTTTTTTTTTAAATTTCCCAGAACTAGCTTTAGTGATGACATTTGTTATGATATATCATCCAAGTATTAACCAGTCTACTCCAACATAGAAAAAGAAAGAAAGAAAGAAAGAAAGAAAGAAAGAAAGAAAGAAAGAAAGAAAGAAAGAAAGAAAGAAAGAAAGATGGGAGGGAGGGAGGGAGGGAGGAAAGAAGGAAGGAAGAAGAAAGAAAGAAAGAAAGAAAGAAAGAAAGAAAGAAAGAAAGAAAGAAAGAAAGAAAGAAAGAAGGGAGGGAGGAAAGAAGGAAGGAGAAAGAAAGAAAGATGGGAGGGAGGGAGGGAGGGAAGAAAGAAGGAAGGAAGGAAAAAGAAAGAAAGAAAGAAAGAAAGAAAGAAAGAAAGAAAGAAAGAAAGAAAGAAAGAAAGAAAGAAAGGAGGGAGGGAGGGAGGAAAGAAGGAAGAAGAAAGAAAGAAAGAAAGAAAGAAAGAAAGAAAGAAAGAAAGAAAGAAAGAAAGAAAGAAGGGAGGTTTCTTGTTGACCATACCAAATACATAAAACTCATACAAAAATACAAGTTGATTCAAGGAAAACAATAGGACAACCTGATAATACACCCCAATCTGATTTAAATTATAATTTTTTTTATTACAGCCCAAATTAAACAATCACATATAAATGAAGTTGCACCCATATCTATTTTTTCAATAAAAAATGATCTTTCTACTTCCAAAAAGTTCCTAGAAAAGGGGGGGGGGAGAAAGAAAGAGAGCCGTACAAAGTAGCCAAGATTAGCTTCTCTTAAAATACATTTTAATAAGGTCCATGTTGAATGGGAACACAGGTGTGATGCTGCCAATTCAGCATAAAAAGAAAATAAAAAGGATTCATAAAAAAGAAGAAGAAAAGAGGGAACAGGGGACCAAGCAAACAGAAGCTTGCTTAGAAGAATAGGGTTCTCTTGCACAAATGATTATAAGGGGCACCCTAACTAGTGATGCAATTGGTATACAAGGGACCTCAGATATAAGGAAAAGTGACGGTTCTCTGCCCCAAGGAATTTACAACCTAAATTTAGAATAGAAAGATGACAGAAGAAATAGGAAACAGATAACAAAAGATGAAAGTAAGAATATACAGTGCTTATTTGTATTTTTGTGTGTTTCGGTGTGTGTGTGTGTGTGTGAGAGAGAGAGAGAGAGAGAGAGAGAGGGAGGGAGGGAGGGAGGGAGGGAGGGAGAGACTTCTTCCCCAATGTGGTGCCCAGCAGCAATTTTGGGACTTTTCAGTTCCTTTATAAGCATGACAACTCAATAAAAGATAGGACTACACATGTCAGTTGTGAACAACCAGATTCACACATGAAATTAGCTACTTTAATCCTCATGGCTATTTCACAGGAATCTTCCCAGACTGGCAGTTTGGGATTAGATAAGATTCAATGGTATTCGGGAGGCTGTGTGTGTGTGTTTGTGTGTATCAGACCTTGCCTTCTTGTGCCTACATAAAGATTCCAGACTAATTCCCTGCTTGACTTCTCCCCTGGCTCGGCCCGTCTCTCTCTGATAGTATAGCCCTGTACATTGTTTGAAAATATTCCAGTTTCTTCTTTTCTTCCAAAAGACACGAGTAATCTGAGTTGTTGGATTACACTTTACTGGTCTAGAGAAGAAAAGGACTAACCTCACCATTTTGTCCTCCTATAAAGAGGCAAGTTGTAACCTGACACAAACAGGCAATTTGGGAGACTATTCACAAAACATTTCCAAAATTGCAAATGTGAGAACTGCCAAAAGAGATAATGATATACAGGTAGCCCTCAACTTACGGCTATTGGTTTAGTGACCGTTTGAACATACAATGCATAAAAAAGGGACTTATGACCATTTTTCACACTTAAAACCGTTGTAGCATCTCTATGGTCACATGATCAAAGTTTCGATGCTTGGAACTGGCATGTACTTATGACTGTTGCAGTGTCCTGATGTCATGTGGTCACTTTTTGTGATCTTCTGACAAGCAAAGTCAATGGGAAAGCCAGACTTACTTTACAACCATTTTACTAATTTAACACCTGCAATGATTCACTTAACAACTATGGCAAGAAACATTGTAAAATTGGGCAACAGTCACTTAACAACTGTCTTGCTTAGCAACATAAATTATGAGTTCAAATGCGATCGTAAGTCGAAGACTACCTGTAACTTGGTATTTACCAAGAATTGTTGACAATACCAATGCAGTCCTTTGTCCTATTTAATTATTCCCAATTTGGCTTAATTAATCAGTGGCCACATCCATCTGCCCACAGGTCTTGACTTCTTTTTATGCCTGATCACACATAAAATGAAGCTGGATTATGGATTTCCTACCTTGCATCAAAAACAACAACAACAACAACCCACGATCTACAACACAGTTATCTCAGTGTCACAAAAGTGAATTTTTATGCAAGGGTATCCCTTCCCATTGTTGGGGGAAGAAATAGAAGAAACAGGATATTATTTTTTCCTGCCCCCAAATCTATTCTCAAGAACTCACTGGGTTGCTAGCCTGCTCATTCCCACATGAAAACTTAGAAACTAGTAATTGGACTCAGGGGTAAAAACAGTAATCAAAAACATGTTATTCTCCTGGGATCTATGTCTCCCGATGAATAGCTGTAGAGAATTGCAGATGGCCAGCATCCCTTTCTGCCATCATGACTTGGTGAACCCTTATTTTTATAATCTAGTGAAGAAGCTAGCGGGTTGGGGTCCCAATTCAGCTCTTGTTTTTACTCTTCCCAGAAGAAGGAAGGGAAGGAAGTCGCTTTTCCTGATATGCCTTTCTCACAAGTGAGAAAACAGGATGTCAGAAGGACGCTAAATGATTGCGACTTGTGTAGGGAAAATGGGAAGGAGTTGATGTCCTTGTGGATTCCTTTGCGAGCAGAGAAGAATTAACAAGCACATTATTTGAAGATGGTTGGCTCTTTGTCTTGAGTTTAGCTCCAAATATGAAATAACTGTCAAGCGCTGGGGAAATCAGAAGATTTGGGCAGTTCAGGTATAAAGATATATTGCAAGCTTAAGCTCTCTACAAGAATCTGAACTACTAACAGTCAAGGGAAATAAGTGAGAGATAAGAGGTAGCCTGGACTTAGATCTCTTGCGGGCACGCAGGGACTCAAGACTTATGACATGTTTGACCCATCCCTCAGGCTCAGTCTGGTCATCTCCTATAAAAACTGCAATTCAGAAATGCATTCTGATTTTATTTATTTTAATAAATAAAACATTAAACATGTTCCTCTCTTCCTTCCTTTCCTCCTACAAGATGACTCTCAGCTATGAAAAGCTTAACCATTCCTGCTCTATCAGCTAAGCAACAATATTCAACCACAAAAGCTTAAAGAGGTACTGGTAGTCCTCAACAATTGAGCCCAAAATTTCTGTTGCTAAGTGAGATGGTTGTAAAGTGAGTTTTGACCCATTTTACAACCGTTCTTGCGACAGTTGTTGAACTGAATCATTGCAGCTGTTAAGTTAGTAACACGATTATAAAGTGAACCTGGTTTTCCCATTGACTTTCTTTGTCAGAAGTTTGCAAAAGTTGGTCACATAACTCCAGGACACCGCAGCTCTCATAAATATGCGCCAACTGCGAAGTGTCTGTATTTTCATCACGTGACCATGAAGATGCAGCAAAGGTTATGAGCAATGAAAAACGGTCATAAATCAGTGCCGTTATAACTTTCCATGGTCACTAAAAAAATGGTTTTAGGTTGAGAACTTCCTGTATCAACTAGATTCTTGATCTTGTAGATATGAAAGGACTTCAAAAGTAACTGAGTCCAGTCTACTGTTGATGAAGGAACGCTGCTCCTTACAACTATCCTGACAAGTTATTTCCCATGAAAGATTATCCTACCTTTCAAGATCATTTGTATCAACATCAACAGAAGGAAGCTGTTCCTACTATTTAGGTGAAATCAGAATAACAGAATAATAGCATAACAGAACTGAAAGGGATCTTGGTGATCTTCTAGTCCAAAGCTCTGTTCAAGCACAAGACCCTATACCATTTTGGACAAATGTTGAGACTCTAGAAAGAATACAGAGAAGAGCAACAAAGATGATTAGGGGACTGGAGGCTAAAACATATAAGGAACGGCTGCTGGAATTGGGTATATCTAGTTTAACGAAGAGAAGGATTAGAGGTGACACGATAGCAGTGTTCCAATATCTTAGGGGCTGCCACAAAGAAGAGGGAGTCAAGCACCTGAAGGCAGGACAAGAAGCAACAGATGGAAACTAATCAAGGAGAGAAGCAACCTAAAACTGAG